ATTGAAAGATTATTTGTATTTTTAAACAGTTGGAGATCCTCAGAACATGATCAATCTGAAGTCTTGGAAAAACATCCAGAGAAGTTCACTAATATCTTCATCTAAATGGAGATCTTTTGAATATTTCCTGTTGCCTAGGAAGGATGTCTGAAAGAATATCCTGCAACGTATGCAACGTTTCCTGAACATCTACAAAACTATCTTAAGTTTTACAAAATTTCCTAAACTTCTACGAAGTTCCATGAATTTATTCCAAATTCCATATTTTTTTCCATCTCTCTTAATTCTACGAAGATCTCTGAGCATCTTTGCACTTCTGGAAAGACACCTAAGACAGCTACAAATATTCTTGAACATCTATGAAGTTCCTTGAAATTTAACGAAGTTCACCAAACCTCCAAGAAGATCATGGAGCTTTTTTTTAAGTAAGATCTCTGATAAACTGCAACGAAGTTCCCTTAACTGAAGGGAGGATCTCTGAAGTTCTTTGAAGTTTATTGCATTGTTTTTAAATCTTCTACAAAATTCCCTGAACTTTTTCAAAATGCCTTTCTCTTATATGAAGTTTTACATAGCTGCTCAAAATGCTAGGAAAATCGTAAAACTTTTACAAAGCTTGCTGCACTTCTACGTTCCTCATTGATTTTCCGTGAATTTCTTGAATTTGTACGTACTTCCACAACTATTTCAAGCCCACGAGGCTTCAAAAAAGTTCCGTAAAAATAATATAAAGGTTCCCGATCAATGATGAGCTTCCTTGAAATAAAAATAATGTTCCCTAACTTCTACGAAGCTACTCAAACTTAAATAAATTTCCACTTCTACGCAGTTTGCAGAACTTTTAGAAGTTCCTTGTTTCTTCGATTCTTTTTTTTTCAGAAGATCTATAAAGTTCCCAGAATTTCTACTAAGTTTCCTCAATATCTACGATGTTCCCTGAACTTCTTAGAAATCCTTGAAGTTTTCCGATGTTCCCAGAAGTTAAAGAAAAATCCCTGGGTTCATGGCTAATTTGTAGAGTTTGAAGGCATCTTATTATGCCATCGATTAAATATCGATATAATATTATTCCTCAAAATTGTTTCTTCTAGTCCAGAAAATTAGTCAACATAAAGGACTTTAATCGAATCTTTGTTTGTGGTCCAATTTTATTAATCGCTGTTAAGGAACATCGAACTTGACAAGCTTGAAAAATTACCGGTGAGTGAAAAACAAAAACACCAAACATTCTGGGAGGGGGGCTACATAATTCTGGAGGAGGCCTGGCACCCCCAATAGCTACGCCAATGTAATATTTGCTGAGGCCAAACTGCAAGAACTGAGAGAGGAAGAAGACAAGTGCGATGACTTTGAAGAGAGGTACGACTTAACAGGGTGGCCAGTGACTTTTCATTTTGAAATTCCCGGGTTTTCCCGGTTTCCGGTTCAAATCTTAAAAATTTCCCGGTTGTTAATATTCAACAAAAATGTACGCATTTTTTAAAACGTGGCCAACTGTAAATTTTGTGGGAAAAATGAAAGCCAAATTAGGGTAACCAACTGATTTTGGACCCCTAGAGGAAGTGAGATCACGTTTATGTCAAAATAATATTATTTGTTTATTATTATTATGCAATTTACATGCGGTTGTGTTCGAAAGCTACTCATCTTGGATGTAAAATGTCACTAGATGTTTTATTTATTGATATATACTCAAGAAATAATTCTTTTCACATCATGATATTCACATATTTTGGACCCTTCCACTTGATTTTGGACAGTGTCCATAATATATTTTGGACACACTGAATGGGAATGAATATATTTTGCACATGCTGAAGTTCTTGAGCCTAAAATTAATTACGACGGTCACTTCTTCCTATCTCGCATTTGTTAGGCTTCGTCTAGGTGGGAAAATTTTCAAAGAAGGTGCCGTAAAACGGGGTGAAATTGATCGCTGAGTATACCCAATATTGTACTTATGCATAATATTTTTACAATGTATACAAAGATACCTTCGTACGCTTAGTAACGAAAAACATGTTACACATGAAAAAATATCACGAGAAATTTCAGCGATCAATTTTGCCCCGCTGATCAATTACACCCCGTTTTACGGTATGCATAAAAGTTAACCCCCCGTTACTCGCGCTGTTGTACTTTGTACAACACATATGAGTTTTCCATTGCCATTTTGTTGCTGCCAATCGATCTGAAACCAACTTGTATTCCTCAAAAAACTTGTTTTGAACTAAAAAAGCTAAACTTTGATTACAATTAACCCCCAAAATGCGGATAATAGAGAAAATGTAAATGGAAACCGCGTAAACGGTGTCCATACTACGTGGGATTGACTTAATTGGTTACAACATGGAATATCTCGAGATCCTGACCAGATAGAAAGTTACTGTCTTGGGCAAAGTTGTTCAGGAGGTCAAAGCCTATTTCTTAGTGTACAATAGTTCAGAATTATCTCACTTCGTGGTGCTAGTATACATGTGAAATTCTCGTGTATAAAATATCTCTAGATCCTGACCAGATAGAAAGTAAATGCCTTCAGCAAAGTTGTTCAGGAAGTCAAGCTCTTTTGGTTGGTGGAGTAGTTCAGAAATTTCACACTACGAGGCGCTAGTATATACGTGTAATTCTCGCATATACAATAGCTCGAGTTCTTGACCAGCTAGAAAGTTACTGTACTGGGCAAATTTGTTCAGGGGGTCAATACTTTTCGACTGGTAGACATTAGTTCAGAATTTTCTCACCACGTGGCGTTTGTATACATATACACTTCTCGCATATGATATATCTCGAGATCCTGACCAAATAGAAAGTTACTGTCTTTGAAAAAGTTGTTCAGGAGGTCAAAGCCTATTGCTTGGTGTAGAATAGTTCAGAATTTTCTCACTATGTAGTTCTAGTATACACGTTAAATTCTCTCATATAAAATATCTAGAAAGCATGACAAGATAGAATGTAACTGTCTTGGGCAAAGTTGTTCAGGGGATCAAGGCCTTTTGGCTAGTGGACGGTAGTTCAGAATATTTCACTTCATGGTACTAGTATATACGTGCAATTCTCGCATATGATATATCTCAAGACCTGCTAAAAATGTACTGTAATCGGCAAAGTTGTCCAGGAGATCAAACCCTATCGTTGGTGGAAAGTATATAATTTTCTCACTAGGTGACGTTGACAGACACGTGAAATCCTTGCATATAAAATATCTCTGAATGACCCGCATACTAGTGCCACGTAAAGGGAAAATTCTGAATTACTGTACACCAACGAAAAGATCCTAACATCCTGAACAACTTTGCCCAAGACAGTAACTTTCTGTCTGGTCAGGATCTAGAGATATTTTATATGCGAGAATTCCTCATGTATACTAGCGTTGCAAAGTGAGAAAACTCTGAACTTAAGTCCACCAGCAAAAAGGCCTTGACTTCCTGAACAACTTTGCCGAAGACAGTAACTTTTTATATGATCAGGATTTCGAGATATTTTATATGAGAATTTCACGTATATACTAGCACCATATAGTGAAAAAATTCTGAACTATAGGCTTTGAACTGCTGAACAACTTTTTCGAAGACAGTAACTTTCTATCTGGTCAGGATTTCGAGATATATCACATGCGAGAACTTCACATGTATACTAGCGCTATGTAGTAAGTAAATTTTGAACTACTGTCCACCAGCAAAAAGGTTATGATCTCTAGAACTACTTTGGCAAAGACAGTAACTTTCTATCTGGTCAGGATCTCGAGATATTCCATGTTGTAACCAATTAAGTCAGAACCCTCGTAATATGGACACCATTTACGCGGTTTCCATTTACATTTTCTCTATTATCCGCATATTTTGGGGGTTAACTGTAATAAATATTAAGCTTGTTTAGTTAAAAGCAAATTTTTTGAGGAATACTCGTTGATTTCAGATCGATTGGTAGCTCGGCTGCAAAATGGAAATGGAAAACTCACACTGTTGTACGCGTGAGTACTCGTGTTACAAAAGTTGGCGCGTTTAACGGAGGAAATATAATAAATCATAAGGAAACAACTAATCATACCATAAAAAAAATCATTCAGAAGTAAATCTTAATACGGAGACCTGACTCTATGCTTGCAGTCCATATTATTTTTTGTATGGGCTGTTCATAAACTACGTAGACGGTTTTTGAGAAATTTCAACCCCCCCCCTTCCGTAGAAGACAGTCTCAAACACAAAATTTAAAAAATTGTATGGACCGTAGACATCTGCCAAGCGCTCCCACCCCCCTAAAGCGTCTACGTAGTTTATGAACAGCCCCTTAGTTAAATGCGTTTGGGAGATAGGAAAACTTTTGTGGAAAACTAGGAACTAGGAAAACTAGGAAAACTCAGAGTGGACCACTCTACGTGTTTTGCCGTTTTTCCCATTTTGAATCGCCTGATAAACAAGAAATATATTTAAAAACAATGAATTCATATAATTTTGATTGATTTACTTACCAATTTAATCAGAAATCTGAGATAATAGCACGATCGACCAACCGGAATTTTTTTTAGTCGCTCTTTTGATGATTCTCATTTGATAAGTGTCCAAAATAAGTTGGTAACATTTTTTTACGATCTTTTTTGGACACTTTTTATTTAATACTTTTTAAGTAAAATCTTAAGGTGAAATCTTTATAAACACGTGAAATACATCTTCCAAAGTCAGATAAACTGATTTGATAAGAAAAATCATTGAATTGTATATTTTAGACCAAATTTAAAACAAGTACACTAACGCTGATTCCTCTTGACAAACGTCGAAACATGAAACTTTTTCGATAACATTTTCTAAAACTGCATAAATTGAGCAATTGTAAGCAATTTGAGGTGAACTAATGATCTTGAGACATAGCAAGTAATTGAAAGAATGTAATTACAACATCAACCCAGATGAATTTGAAGAAACTAGACAGTAAGCGAGGAAAATATATGAAAAGGGTCCAAAATATGTAGGGGTCCAATTCAAGTTGGTTACCCTACAGAAAGTGTTTTCTAAAGCTATAGCAAAAAATCAACTCTATGAGTCACTTAATGTATTCAAAACAATTTATTGGTCTTTCGAGATACTTTGATAAATCGAATTCTACCACTTTATGATCGATACATCTTATGATTCAAGCCCTAGAATTTATTGAATTACAGAGATTAAGGTTACTGGGCCAAATGCTATCTGTATGAATTATATAATAGGTGAATTGTGCAGAATAAGAGATTTAATTAAAAAAAATGTTTCAGAAAAATGAACTTGGTACAAATGAGAATAAGAGCAAATTGATAGTGATATCGGATAATGAAGATGTGTATTCACTGAAAGATTATTTACTAAAAAGATAGATTCCCAAGATTCTGGGGCTTTGAAATTTGTGTAGGGTTTGAAAATAGAACTTTTCTTCAAAATTTGGGATTAATAATAATCTTCGTGATGCAAGATTTGGAGAAAAAATAGTTAAAATGTGAGAGTTTAAAAAATTTCCAAGATGACAGATTTGAAAAAAAAAATCATATTTATTAAATAGTCGTGCAGTCATAATTGTCAAGGCTCTGAGACTTGAAAGTATTTTAAGTGTTAAAACGAATTACAGAACAATCGATAGAATCTTGTGAACAAACCCTGGAATTTTCAGTAAAATTTAAAGGTATTCAAGGTATTGATTTCAAAAAAACTATTGAGGAGGATCCCACATAGTTTTCGAAGAAGAAGTTCTGAGCAGAATTCCAGAATCATTCTGATATGAAGTCCTTAGAAATTGTGAGAAGAATTTGGAGGGATTTCTGTGGAGAGGATTGCAAAATCTAAATTAAATTATTAGATATTTTTTTTAAGAATCCCAAGAGAATTATGATGAGAATACAACAAGAAACAGAGTTCTAAGAGTGTTCAGGCGATAATTTCAACCCTAGTGAATGATTCATTAAAGAGCTCCAACAAAATTTATTTAAAAAAAATTGCTAATAATTAAAATACTCCAAGCGGTTTCTAAATAATTTCAAATTTCGAAAGATTTATGCTAGAGTAAAAGAAAATTTTGAAAGGGTTTAAGGGAATTCTAAGACGGATTCCAAACAATTTCTTAGAAGGGGTTTCAAGGAAATTCCAAAAAGAATTCAATGGTAATTATTACGCAGAGTGTTTTCTGGTTAATTTTAAAAGATTTCTACAATAATTCAGAGCAGAATTCCAAGTTCATTCTGGAATTCATATCATGAGAATTTTTAATAAAATTAAAACCCGAAAAAAGAATAGTTCAAGCATCATCAATATTTTGTTTCAAGGCCCATGCACTTTACATCTGAAATTGAATTGGAAAAATCAATTTGAAATATTGCTGAGTGATTAAATTCTAAAAACAATAAGGCGAGAATCTGAAGAAAAAAAATAAAGACATAAGAGGTAAAAAATCACTGTTTTAATGGTTTATTCTGAAATTCTGGTGTGAAAATTTATTCCTATGGTGTGATTAATTTATTTTTCCCGGTTCTCTCATCGAATTCCCGGATTTTTCCCGGTTACTTTTCAAATTCCCGGATATTTCCCGGTTTTACCAGTTCGCTATAGACTTAATATTTATGACTCATGTTAAAAAGCTCGGAATCTGGCATGACGGAGCATGTAGGGTGTTTCTTGACCGATGGCTTAGCGATACATATGCTTCTTTGTTTCTCAGACCTAGGGAAGAAATAACAAATACTAAATTCCTAAGCGATGACGACTTTATGCTATAATACAGAGTGAAATCATCAAGAGTGGAAACTGTACAAATATCCCTCTTTGACCCATCAACAAGTTCTTTGATACAATACGTGATGCTTCACAGGATCCCAACTCCCTTATTTCAACCCTATCTGATTTGACGGGCAGAGTTGGAACACTTAGCTACCTTGTGAAATCAGGAGGTAAAATTCCATTTGGGGGTTTAAGTGCAGACAGATCATCAGCATCTGAGGCAGAGCTAGTATCCAACCCACAGGTAGAAGCAATTCCTGTAACATCTGCCACTCTGTCAACAGAGGTAAATGAGATAAAATTGAGGCTCCTAGCTATGCTAAAGTGATTATCCCCATAGAATGAGTTACGTTATAAATAATAATAAAAAAAAACTTTTGTTATTAATTAATATGTGAAGCCTAGTGTTTAATATATATGTCCTTACGTACATGGGCATATGGTGGATAGATAAATATAACAAGAATTTTCTCAATTTAAGATTATATGCAATATTACATACATACGAGCTGCGTTTGTTCACATCTACCGATACTGAGTGGTGCGGTCGGTAATAGACGATTGGTGTGTATTAGAGAACGCTTGCGAAAAAAGACTAGGGAAGGAAACGGATTCGAAACTCAAATGTCATTAGCCAAATACATCCGTAGACCATAGATCCACCGTTGTATAATTGGCAATGCACCCGTGTACTGAATGGGAACTGTGGGTTCGAATCCCACCAGTGCCCTTAGATTTTTTCGCAAATTTTCTCACACACACGTCTCTTACCGATGATATGTGTTTACCTCTCAGTATCTTCTAGCTTTCGTATAAACAAATAAAATTGACTACAGTCGTTAACCGTAATCCATTACATATTCACTATTACATTCAAATACAATAACTTACATGATAGGAGCTAAATATCAAACAAGCAAACTTTATTTTCGAATCATAACAAAAAAAAACATTCAAAACATAAATACATTTAGATCATATTTTTTTTTAATTTAATTATATAGGGCGTGTGGTGGATACGGGCCTTCATGCGAGCAAGATCAGCATAAAGCGCAATCGATCCAAAGTTCGTAGAACGGACGATTGTGGTTTATGCTGAGGGCAGCAAAAAGTGTCACGTAGGCACCGACGCGATCACAACAAGCGAGGCCTCTGTATAGACCAACTATGAAATAAAGATTTTTACATTTTAGCACCCAAGCTTATTATTTCACGTCGATTTCTAGCAAAAAGCAGCTAACTAAATAAATTATTATTCAAAGTTTTATGCAAATCGGAGCAGGTCGCATCAGATCGATTCGTCATTTGGCGTGGAACTGCTATAGTAAAGTGACAATCCTCCCTATTCTGGGAGTCGTGTGACTCTTTATAACTAGTGAATAAAATAAAATAAAAAACCCTCTCCGAAGGGAACATCCAAGCTTCAATACTGAAAGGTTGGAAAATTTCACGCAATCGAATCTATCTACAAAAAATCTTCTACGGACTAATCGTGGCATTCCGAATTAGGTTATTTTTTAGCTCATTTGAATCCAAATCCCATAACAATATTCCAGAATATGTTGGTTGTGTCTTAGTTGAGAATCTATTAGTAATCTTACATCTTCTAGGGGAAGTGGGGGTAAAATTATCATTTGACGATTAACAAAGCATTGCTTATTCATTAAATAAACATTTATCATACAGGCATCCTCTACCGGAATTTCACCCCAAAGTAGTTCACATTTTCTGCAAAAAAAAAACTTAGGTAGAACCTTTTAGATGTTTCAGTTGTGTTGCCGCAAAATTAATAAGATCGTTTAAATGTTTCAATCAATCTGGTGCTACGCAGTACATATTGCTCGCTAACATCAAGTTTTACGATACATAGGTATCATAAATGATTGTCATCCGAATGCAATTATTATATAGGAACTTATAAATTTAACAAATCAGCTCAGCTGAAAATAAGCTACTAAAATCCGATGAGTTGATGTAAAATTAAACACGTACTTAATAAGTCTAGCCGTTTGAGGCCTTACCTAGGATCCTAAGCGAGCATCACTGGACACTGATGAAGCCTTAGTTGTTGATGTGACTAAACTCCATCATCTCGGCATTCTGCAGTGGCTCGGTTTCCGTTTCGGATATAATCTGCTTGAGCCACTGTTGAATTTGCATGGTGTGTTCCTGACTGGCCGGTTCCGCTGTTCCCATGGCGGCTGCTGTCACTGCTGTGGCCGTTGTTGGCGATGCCAGGGCGAATAGATCGCCAAGCACTTGCGTTAGGGTGTCATCATGCTGGGGTAGATTCAGGACGGCCCGAAGTTCGGCTGCCGTCAGTGGAAGACGTTGCGATTTACAGTCAGAAGCACTGCTACTCGATGAATTCACTGTGGCCGAAGGTTCACTCTTCGGGGACTCAGACGTGCTGGAGGTGGACGACTGGGAATCCGGTGCGGGGACATTGGCATTGGCCAGACTCGTTTTCAGAATGTGCTGACGAAGGATTTTGTTCTCTGTGATGAGTCGCTTGTAGAAGCCACACTCGGGACTGCCCTCCTCCGATGGACAACGTGGAGCCGGTGGGTTGCTGACAGCCGTTTTCGAAGGTGGAGTTTCCGCACATGTATTAATAGTTAAGTTTGTCACATTCTTAAGATTGATGGTGCCACCACAGTTGTTCATGGTAAGAGCGGAAACGTTTTTAAGATTCTTCTCCGTATTTTTGCTACTGCTTTTTACCACTAGGCTACGATCCGTTTCACTACTAGTTGCTGTAATACTACTATTGTGTCTGCCAGCTTTATCCAGCTCCGTCTGAGATGCCTTCGTTATCATATACTGCTGTTGTCTAGCAACTCTCGTTAGATCAATTCCCAAGCCGTCGCCCTGATTTGATATAGTATTATTGTTGTTGCTAATATCAACAGTTGCACTTCCACCTTCACCTTGCGATGAAAGTGAATCTGTTACAGTTCTCTCCCGGTTGCGAAAGTTTGTTAGATCAATTTTCATTCGCTCGAATTCTTCATCCAACTCGAAGCCCACATTCGCGCCGCCAAACGATCTATCTATCAGCTCTTTGCTTTCGTTCAAAGCTAGATTTATGATCGACTCCCTGACCATTTCCGCTCCTTCCTTGATTAGACTTTTGTTGCTGAAAAACTCCACTACAATTTCCTCACTTTCCGGATTGTCACGTTCCTCGTCGCTTGCACCCCGTCGGCAACTTTTGTGCATGAGGTCATGATCATCCACTGGCTGGATATAGTCCTCGTTTTCGTACGGATCCTTAAGTATTATGTTGAAATTGTCTATATTGTACTTTCCGTAGGTTCGAATCCGCCCGATCAGGTCCTCTTCTCCACTATCCACAAACTTAATGTTATCGAACTGGAATGTAACGTGATGCGATTGCTGAACCACTACTGATAACTGACGTAGCAATAACTTCTCCCGCAGATCCAAAGCCTTCCGAATTCGTTCGAATGATGCATTCACTTGTTCCTTCAACTGCAATTTATCACGACACAAAAACATGAAATTAATCATTAAGGGTGAGTTCCAGAGAGTAAAAATCAAAAATGTCGATGTGGAAGAACACTTTTCACGAATACGTACCTTCTCGGAGAATACATTATTTCTGTTGCTATCCATTGTAGGCAGGGGCAAGCTACTAGCATCAGCGTCAGAATAATCTGCTGAACTCTGCAAAAATTACGGATGTTGAAATATTATGCCTTCAACAATACTATAACAATTTCACTGGATGCACGCGAATCGTTCTTTATCCGTGTTTGCCTTACTTCTTCACTCTGCTGGTGACTGAAGGAAAGGACAAGGAGATGGAAAACAAACTAGGGATGTCAGAAAATAATCGAGTAGGGCAATTAATCGATTAATCGATTCTTGGGTTCTTTAAGAGTACCCTAATAAAAATACCATACCCAAACGATAGCCCAAATGATTGAACTATTCCATAAATGGTTTGGATGATACCATGAACACGTCGTTAAGCAAAATAGCCATACAAATGTTGTTAGGGTATTGACTACACGGAAAATCGAGATAGAAAGTACTTTAAGATAAGTACTCGTCTAACACTATTGCTTTGATTAAAATTGTGTTCTCAATGATAAGTACTTGTAACATAAAATGAAGTGTTATGATAAGATTTTGTTTTGGATGAAAAATTATTTGCATCGTGTGCCATTAATCTCGTTTTGTTTTGTCGTTGTTTGAAGAGATTTGTTTGCTGAAGCTAATTTAATATCCAAACATCTAGACGTGCCTTAACGTGCCTTGACAACGGGTGCGTCGGAAGTCAATATCCGGATATGGAATCTACGCAGCTACGGGAGGGTATGCTTGTAAATTATGAAATATAAACTCTTGCCACACAACACTATATGAAAATCATTTGCAAGCTTTTCAAAATATGCGACATTTAAAAGATCAACGGAGTTCTCCTAAAGACTCGAGAACCGGAGATTACCGAATCAGCTTGCAGACTGTGGGTGGGACTCGTTGGTACATGTTTTCAACACGGACTGCTGTAGAAAATCTAAAAGCAGGACATCTCCCCTCAGGCCAAGGACGCTTTTAATATTGATTTAGGAAGATTTTGAACCAATTTTCCAAAATTATGACAGTGTAGTGTAATGAAGGATTGTATTAATTAGCAAAATGAACATCAAATGCACCGTGAAATGTTAATTCAGCCAAGTTATCATCAAAAGAGAAAATCGATGAAGAGAATCGATCACCACAGTTAGGCCCTTATGATCCTGATTCTCCTTCTAATGTTGTCAAAACGGAGGAGCAAAACCACCCAACAAGGGTAGTAAAGTGTGAGAACCCAACGTTGAGTATAATCATATTTACCTACTGTTGGGTACAACTAACTTACTTTTGGTTAAAAAGCCAGTGTAAAATTCCATACGAACTGCACACAAGTAAATGAAAATTACTTTGAACCGCTTTACCTACTTTTGGGTTCCTGCACCATAGTGCCGAGATGAGTGATTAAAAAACTTAATTTTGGGTACTTTTTTCTAACCGTGTAATAGAGAGCTAATTTCGAAGGAAACATCGCATCACTGAAACAGCGCCTCTTTCAATTAGGTTTTGCACCGTCGGGGTTAACCTCAATCTGATGGAAGTTCAGTGGTACTGTTTACGTGGACTTAGTCGATTTTTTCACATATGTGTTCATTTTTAGTAAACAAGGCCCCGCTGTTATGTCACTTTTTGTCGAGTGAGTGAACTCAAATTCATCCGTGCACTCGTCTATAAGAACCAGCCGATTTACACTGAGTTCATTTGTGACGTCACGCTGCAGTACCTAATTATGACAGCCAACGAGTGAACTAATTCACAACAATCGTGCGCATTTTACATGTACGATGAACTGCCAGCTGTCAACTTACCAAACAAGTAATTATTTATTGATATATTTGAAAACACTCCGGCTAAAATGGTCTGCAAAAGGTGTGAAGTACGCGAATGTAAAAGTGTTGCCACGGGACCATGCTCTAAATCTTTTTTTCAAAATATTATTAGTCGATGATGAGTATCGATCAATGCAGATATGCAATGCAGCACCCTTTGAAATGTTTATCTAGAATTAATCAAAAATGAGAAAAGCATCGAAAATTGAGGTTGTTTTTATTATTGTGGTATAGATCTTTTTGACGTTTAATCGTCTTTCTCTATCCAGCACACAGGGATGAACGGTTGTTTTGTTTTCCCACGTATCTGTTTCTCTCTTGCTCACACTCCTTCAGTTTAAATTGTGCATTAGTGTGCCTCGTTTAAACGTCAAAAAGCTCTATGGACGTGATAGCTAGATTGATTTTAGAAAAGATCCCATCTCTATTTTTTGATCAAATAACAGTTTCTACCGCAACCACGATGGATTTGCAATATTGACACACGCAATCAAAAGCTCAAACCTTGAACTGTTGATTGCATGTATCAGTATTGCAAATCCATCGCTCAGAACGCGGTAGAAAGTGAATAAAGTTAATCGATTATTTGATCGACAAATGAAGATAGGACCTATTCTAAAATCAATCGAGTTTATCTTCCAGCTGATTAACTCTTGATAGAGCTGGAATTAGGGCGTAACAGCTTTTGTAAACAATTACTTCTCTTTTGTAAATGATTTCTAGAAAGTCAAGGCTAGTCAACGCAAATCAACATCATCATCGGGTAGAAGGTTATGCTGGTGTGCGGTCGACAGAAAGGTAAATTTTAATTTATTTTTTTTATTTTTGTTGTGACCGACGCGAGACAAGGCGTCTTGTGACTGTCGCGTACACTCAAAGAAAATCATTTATTTTGTTCATAAGAATAGACTTATACTTCTCATTACCTTCTACCACAGACAAACAGACATAACACTCATAATCACATTCATCACAAATTATATTTTAGTTGGGAATGTGCTTGCATTTTCCATGGTGGCGCCACTGAAGCATTGAGCAAGCCACCAAATTTCAATCTTATCAGTGATGCCAGTTCTTTTTCACGTCTAGTTAGTAGATGTCAGCTCTTGAAAATGATAAGTGGTCAAGGCCTCGGTCAAGGCATCCCACTGGAGACACATACCACATCTGACGAATACAGAAAAAAAAATGTTGAATATTACATCAAAACTGCTGCACATTAGTAATTCCGTTCCTAATATTACGTTGTACGATGTACACAGAATTTGACAATACATCATGTTGATGACTGTAATATTCAATCAACTTTTACCAGTTATTGATGTTTAATACTTCACCATAAATATCATTGATTGATACATTTTTTACTTCTTCTGTGTACACATTAAAGTGATGAGCGGGGGTAGAAAGGGCACTAATAAGTGATGCATTACCTCGTTTAAAAACTTGTTTCCAGCAAAAGAAAAAGCACACTAATCAAACAAAACAAATCCCTAAACAAAAGTCTTAGCTTCTGTGAATTTTTCCCATGGATCCGTATTTCTGCAGAATTCAATCAATTCTATAGATCTTCGGAATTCGTAGAACCGACATCACTGACTTCCATCTGTTTTGTTTTTATTCAACACAGCTTACGCGTTGACAGAACGAGGGAAAAGCAACTTGTGAAAAAATTGCATGAACGAGGGATGCTCCGGTTGCAAAACAATGCTTGGGAATGTGGATGATAGATGGTGCTAGTTCGCATGCAAAATACGCTTGACGATACTTTTTGAAGAATTTTCTTCTAAGAGTTATGTCTGTTTGCCTGTGCTTATACTAAATGTTATTCATTATTTCACTCACATTAAATTCATGCAGGCACACATAGTAACCAAGAGATATTTTATTGAAAAGCATTAATCATGTGTTATGACCAAAAACTATAAATCGACAGTGAGCATTCATAAGGGCGTATACGCGATGATCGATTCTCTTCATCGATTTTCTCTTTTCTTAATAACTCGCTAGATTTAACGTTTGTCGGTGCGTTTGTTGTTGCTTTTGAAAGCCAATACAACCTATTGCAACTCTACATTGAACAAATTCTACAAAATTGTTTCGCTTAGCTGTAGCAATGCAAAGAGAAAAACGATGAAGAGAATCGATCATCGCGTATACGCCCTTATGCATGCTCACTGTCGAAATATTCGCTTATACTTTTTACATAGCACTGCTTTGAAAAATAACAGTTGTTTTTGACTGAATCGGAAAAGGATGTCAGCTATGGGAGTAGAAAATTTACAGCTTTTATAATAATCATCATTCTATTAATATATTTTAGATAATCAACGCAGAGATACTCGGTACGACAGGTGCTCTCGGTATGCAGAAGGATGAACGCCATGAGGACAATTTCAGTTCACACTATACTTTCCAGAGCCATGCTCGGAAGCTTGGGGCTGTAAATAATTCGGGTTCCAGTATGCACGATGCACGAGATGATGCATGAAATTTACACCACTCATATATCTATCATTATTCATAAAAAAAATCTTTTCACACCAATTCGTTTTATGCTTTTTCTTATGAAATATAAAAGTAAACAATATTGAAAAGGGACTTAATCAATACTACATTGAATTCAATGATTTTTATGCTTCAAAGTTCATAAAAAGTATTAATCAGCCTTATAATTTTCATATAAGCACGATTCATTGCATCCATAAGATTAATACATATGTTTAATTACTTATCCTTATACTTTTCATGAGCGGATGGCAATGGCAAAAATCTATGTGCTTTGCTTAATACATTCAATATAAATAATTCTTTTCGTGTAGCACACAACATTAAAAATATTAGGTGAATAAATCGATTATTATCCAAACAACGACACCCCTATAATAATAATTCGCTTTTGAAGATTTTCATTTCCGCGTTGCCAGTTCGTGTAAATGGAATGAATACTGCTCACATCTCTTCTTGCAACCCCTAATTTGACGTTTCATACGATCAAAGCAAAATAAAAGAGAAAAAGTTGCAGTCGATTCGGAGGCGGTCGCTAAATTCGTTTTAATTCGATAATTTCGTTTGAAATCTTTTCGCAAATATCACCATTAGTTGCGTAACAGTGCATTGTGTCGATTATTCATTTCAATTTGGTCGATAATTTAAGTTTGAGCGGTGAAAAACGGGATTTTTCCAGGTCGCTCACACGACGAAAAAAAACCAACCCCCACCCACTATTACCACCCACTTCGATAAACGGTCGGGTGTTGATAGGGGGTGGCGCGCTGACGAACAGCGGCATGTTCAACACAACGTAAACAAATCGTACGCGACGACTCACCGCGCGGTGAGGTGCTTCCTTGGTGACGGCGGCAATAGGAAACTATCATTTTTGGCTCGCGCCATCGAAAGTGATGATTGCGACAAACAAGGGCCAGAATAATTGCACATTAGAATTATTCTCGGATGCAGTCGTTTTGTTGCAGATGTAAACATGTACCTACTGCAGATGCCATCGAAAGGCGCTCTTTAGCAGGTAACTTAAAAATAGCCCTTCTCGGGACAATGGATCGTCATCGGCAGAGCGGTTTTCGAGAGCAAAAAGAGTGCCATCAGGAATATCTACGACGTAGCTCAAACACACACAGCATCCTGAAGTGCGCTGATGATCGTTGCTCTTCCACGGTTGGTCGTCATTGTCTCTGCTGGTGTCAGTTTATGGTATTACCGCCGTCGACCAAAGGATTACTACAGCAGTTGGTGTCGGCGTTCCGTTACATAACTACAGTCGATTACATTGCGTTGATAGTGATTAACTGGCGCCGAAAAATCGAAATACTTGCATTAGCATAAGCAACTTGAAGGTAGGCTTCTTGAACCCCTTTTTTACTATAAACTTTACGTCTGTAGTAAAATGGCATCTATTTGTAGATTTGAAACAGCTGTATTCGTTTAACGAACATTCATTATGGACAAACAGGACACATCCAAGCAAAGCAAGGGTAAAAGACCTTTCCTGGGACTGTTGTCAAAGCGATCATCCCGGGTAGAGCCACAACGATGCACTGAGAGCGAAGACGAGCTTGGTGGGACATCAGATTCAACGAACAATTCCACATTGAATCTCACAATCGCCAGTCAGCAGTCAAGCAGTTCAAATCTCCAACAACACTTTCAACAGCAGCAGCAGCATAAGCCTGAAGCAAGTGTGGTGAACAGCAATCCCGCTGCTGCACCCATCATTACCCAGCGTCAGGATTCTTCCAATCAGAGTGATACTAATTCGTACCACCTGCTATCGACTTCCTCCACCACCACGAACTCGTCTGGGGATCCATCTTCGAAAACAACCAATACGTCGTCATCGTCGCAGAAGGTTTATAGCAATTTTACCGCAAGGTAAGCGTTAGATGGTAGTGGTTATGGGAAAGTGATTCGCTTAATCCGCAGTATGACGAAGGCAATTAGTGTCTGTCGGATGCACTTTGTAAACAATGGTCTAAATTTAGCGACAATTGTGACGCGCCAAACATGTGTCTTGATCGAATCTTTAATTACATCGACGTATGACGCAGGAGTTGAACAGTTAACACATTTTTAAATATCTGAAATTCAGAATCAATGCTGGTCATTCTAACATGCTTGCACCATTGGTATCGTGAAGACTTAAAAAAAACTGATTTCATCCACCTATGGTGATGTTTGTCCCTTCTTACTTATTTAATTTCAACAAAATTCCTCATTTAAGTACGAAAAGTAACACAGTTTCTGAATGATACTTGAGTCTGTGTTTGAATTTCCGTGCTATACATTTTGAAGGAATTACAGATTTAAGACGGAGTAATCGGAACATCTTAACAGTATTCTATGTCTGAGATCATAATTTTCACTAGCGCCATCTGATATTTAGGATTGGTAAATCGTTTGCAATCAATGGTGACAATTATGTGTTATAAATACGATGTTGACATGTTCACAAATGGGCCAATCGTTGTTGTTGATGTAGATATTTCTGAGGGTAAAATTAAACATCAGTTGTTACCTGTGGACAGCAATCGGGTTTCAAATAGCCTAGACGATGACGCTTCTCGAGCTTCAGCAGGTTAACTTACGTAACATCGCCTATGATGACGAAGAAATAAATCACTAAATTTAGAGGATTAACCGGCGTCATGTTGTTTTGTTCTAACTCGGATCGTTTAAACTTGGCATGTGTTCGTAAAAATGAACCTCCATGACGTAGGTTAACGATTGAACATACACTATAGAAAGGGAAAGCTCATGACTCTATATAAATTCATTTGGCCGGACCGGCTTTAAACTAGTTTGATTATCGTTGCACTCTTGCTATCTATTTCGTCACTTACCAACCTCTTCTGAGATGTTATCGTTTTTAGGAAATGAAACCATTCTCACGATGTGGTGGGTGCAGATAGGTTGCGAGATGGCGGATACGTCCAATCTTATGCGATCTCTATAATCACACATTTCTAATGCTAGTTTCTTCACTATTCTAGGGATCCAACGCTTGCAGCCACCGTGATACGAAATCCATCAAATCGACTCAGCGGTCAGTTTAATCTGTGCTGTTCGGTGGATGAAAGCTTGCTCAAATCGCCCAAGAAGAACCGATACTCCGATCCGCATGGCGGAGGTAGCAATTCATTGGATTACGATATTCAACAGCAGCAATTGTCGCAACAGCAGCAACGGCGTCAACAGCTGCGGTTGGAACTTAATGCAAAGGCCTCTGCCATTGGCTATCAGATGGAGAAATCTAGTCCCGTTACAAATGGAACGAGAAACAGACCGTTGGAATTTGGTCAGGATGTGGCCGGTGCTGTTATGGGAGGTGAAGGAGAAGGAGGCAGTAGTGGATATCACAGCAATAGTCAAACGGCTTTGATCGAAAACAAGGTTGTGACGAAACCTGTAGTGTTTCGGGAATATCAGAACCATACACAACGTGCGATCATGAGCAGCAAATCTAGATTTAAGGAACGATTTTTGCCTCCATTGCCAAAGTTGGAGGGCTACGAAAAAATGGATCAGCACTATAGTTCGCCCAATATAGCGGATAACGAGGATCCACCGGGAGTGGAAAGAGATACTAGAAAGTCGATGTCGTTTGATACCGTTACTTCGGGTAATGACGGTGACTCGGGAATGGTTAATCCGGTTAGTGCGGACTCTCTGGCCAGGCAAGCTTTAATGGCAGCTCACGTACTGCATCTCATACCGGTAGATAAGGCACGCCAAAGGAATTTCCTGCACGGTAGACTGGGAACAACGTCGCTGCTGGGTGCATCAGAGCTAGACAAAGTTCTACCAACCCGAGAGATCACGATTTTTGTCGGTACATGGAACATGAATGGACAGAGTCCACCTAAGCAGATGAATGATTTCGTTCTGCCGACTTCTCTGGAAAACGTTCCGGATATAATAGTGTTCGGCACACAGGAGTCATGCTCGGAGCGATTCGAATGGGAAGTAACGCTTCAGGAAACACTAGGCCCAAGTCACATTCTTCTGCACTCTACTAGTCTCGGTACGCTTCATTTGGCTGCGTTCATTCGGAGGGATTTGATTTGGTTTTGCTCCGAACCTGAGGATGCGAATCTATCGGTACGACCCGGTACAGCGTTCCGGACGAAGGGAGCCATTGCCATTTCATTTTGCCTTTTCGGAACATCCTTTCTGTTTGTAACGTCCCATCTAACGGCTCACCAGCAGAAGGTGAAGGAACGTGTTTCGGATGTGAAGAAAATTATCCATTCGTTGGATCTTCCAAGGAACTTGACTGTCAAACATCGGAACAAAGATGTTACGCAGAACTTCGATAGTGTCTTCTGGTGTGGAGATTTGAACTTCCGGCTCAGCGAACCACGTGAGAAACTGATGCACTGGATCGAGACAACTCAGTTCCCGCTACCGGCTCACTTGCCGCATGGATTCATGCACACCGATCAGTTGACGAGCGTCCTGTCGGACGGTGCCGCTTTTAAGGGGTTTCGAGAGGCAAAGATCACATTTCCACCGACTTATAAGGTAAGCTGTTGTAGGTTGTAGACATCGTCGGGTTAAACGCACTTTTTTTTTACGTTTATTAGGCCGGAACAAATCAATACTTTTACTTCTGTCACACACCATTCGAATCTGGCTAGACTTAAAATCAGAAGTTAACCCTATACGTAAAAGTCTCTTTCGTCATGAACTGCTCGGATAACAATAATGTGACACAAAATGCACGAATTTACACTTTTAGTTACTAGGTGAATCTTTGTCATTGACGAAAAAATGAATGAGATTTTGACGAAGGTTTTTTTTTATGATCAAGTCTATCAGTGACTATGTGAAAAACAATTTTGTCAATATCACGCGTAAGTCTGTCAATGACAAATATCAACATTGCTCTCAACTTAGTGTTCTAGATGGACTTCTACAGTTTTTAACTAAGAGCCTCCGATGGCTGTACCAATTTTTGCATCAGTATAATTGCGTGACAAGTACAACCCTACTCTATGCCCACGGAAGTCGAGAAATGTTCCAACCCACAAAATTACTCGACCGGACCGGGGGTCGACTGAGTTTAGGACGGCCCCAAATTTCCTTCTGACTTTCTACGGGATTCTCCTTTAAGTTCTTCCGTCCCTGTAAATGCATTTGCATATGTCTTCGGACTTCCAGAAATTCCTTTCAGTTTTACCAGGAAGTCTCTTCCAAATTCTTCAGAAATTTTGCACAGCTTAGCTCGTAAGCGTCTACCGGTTTCGCTTGGAATTTTCTTCGATCGGAAGCTTTTCTGACTTGGCACTAAAGATTCTTGCAACTGACCTCAGAAGTTTCTTCCAACTTTCTCCGGAAGTTTCTTTTAGCATCTCCCTCCGGTAGTGTCTTTCAACTCCTCGGGATTTTTTAAAATCTATTTCCCTACTTGTCTAGTTTCTTCTGACTACCCCAGGAAGAATCATCCGACTTCCCCTTGAGTCCGACCTCCCTAAAAGTTCTTCTGGCTTCCCCTGGAAGTGTCTTCCAATTCCCAAGGGAAGTTTTCTTAGAGATCCCCTGGAAAAAAAAACTTTTCCCGGCAGGTTACTCAAAACGTCCCCCAGAAGTTTCTGCCTGCTTCTTCTGGAAGAGTGTACTGACTCATCTAGATACGTTTTCATAATTTCTCCAAGTAAATCAAATTAGTAAATTTCCTGGGTAGTGTGGTAATTTGTGGCCTAATCATGGTGTGGCATGGTTTCAAATTTTGAACGATAATATCTCAATTTACTGAAACCCGAAAGCCGTGTAACTTACTCTGTTATAATCGTGCATGATGGTTTGAGAGTTGAGTTTAAAGTTTTCACAATTTCCCATTTCCAGTACGATCCGGGTACGCAGCGATTCGATACATCTAGCAAGCAACGTGCACCGGCTTATACCGATCGTATTCTCTACAAGTTCAAACCGCTACCGGTAACTACTGTCCACCGTCGCACAAGTAATGCTGCGAGTGGAAAAATCTCACACCCTCCGTCGCCGGTGAAATGCTTATCATACGACTCAGTGCCGAGCATCATCACGTCAGACCACAAACCCGTTTGGGCACTGTTCCGCAACATCATCCGGCCAGGCGTCGATACGTAGGTGGACTCCTCGTTTAGTTAAAATTCGCCTTCTAACCCAAATTTCCCTTCGATTGCAGCGTACCATTGGCGGCTGGCCTGTTCAATCGGGAAGTGTACTTGGAGGGTATGAAACGACGGCTGGACAGTTCCGGCTCCAGCTCGTCGGCTGTATGCAGCATTCAATGATGATAGTTGAAACCCGTAATGTGATAAGGTAATCAGCACACAGGTAATGTTTTCTAGTCCACTATGCTGTATAGAGTTACTACATATTTAACGTAATATGGATTGTGGGCAGAGCGTGCAAACCTTTGTACAACTGCACGCTGGCTCAAGTTGATTCACATAGATAGAACTGGTAGAAAATACCGCAAGGGTTAATAGTAAAGTAATCAAGAGAACAAAGACAACATAAAATAATGATTCCTTTTAAAAATAACATTTTTAACGTGTTTAGAAAGTAGTTTTGTGGATTTGAAAACATGAACGGTGTGAGCGTCTCTTAGATAGCGTTTAGTAATCCGAATAGTGATCTCACACTATTTGGTAACGCGGGAAAAGGCAGCCTTAAAGGTTAGTTTAGGAAACCTGTTTCTAGTCAGAACATCAAAGTCAAATTATTGATAAGTACCTATTCGTATAAGTTAGACTAAGCAAGATAGTATACTAGAGTCATGTAGTACCATCATCACATATCGATTAGATCTTTGCTATTTATACGTACATACATGTTACGTATTGTAACTAGAGTAGAGTTGAAGCAATTGCTGCACAGCAATGTTCCTTGAAACATATGTTTGCTTCATAAGCTCAATAGATCAGTTGTTCGATCGATTAATCGAGAATCGATTCAATACTACGTAATAAGTGTAGGTACAGGCATTTGCTAAAACCAAAACTGAACCGCAAGTTCCACGATCCAAAAGACGCCCGAAAGCAAAAAAGGACATTCTCGATGTAATAGAAACTACCTAACTTAGCAAGCAATAGCCGTATAAATGTGTCGCCCGATTTTGTGGGAAATCAGAACACCACAAAAATAATTTCTACTGAAAACCATCTGTCTCTCTACCTCTCGTGGTGAGTAGCGAAAACGAAAGTAGCAAAACAGTCACATGTTAGAATCTCCAATCAGTGGAAACCTACGCTCCTATTAAGGAGCCAAATATCGTCTCATAATAATAGTAAAACAACTTTAGAAGCAATGGAAAACAAAATTCTGTCACCACCTAATATTCCATGGATTGGCTACAACTATCCGGAATTGGCCTTATAGGAACAAGCAAAACGGTAGCTCTCTTAATAAGAGCGGTTTCGAAGCGTTCGATACCCTCTGCGAAATGTATTGATTCGTTCATTTTTCATTCCATCCTGTACCTTTATTCTTCCGAAGTATATTTATTTCTATTATAAGTAGTCGGTTTAACGATTTCTGTTGTCGGTAGATTTTAACATATTAATTGTTTTGTTTGAGCCGCTTGGTATGAAAAAAATAATCTGTGAGAATCTGAACTTTTACACACTGTTTCAACTTTGAATAAATTCCATTTTCCTTCTAAATTGCGTCCCTCCTTGTGTATCACATTCCACTCTATGTAAGTTTTAATCTACCTAACAGCTACTGGGCTGACCCTTTTGCCTAGGATGACTTTGAGCAGCGTTAATTCTACCGAGAGTGTTGAATTCACTCGCGCTGGCTGGCATATTGCAGACTGCTCTCACTTCTCTGGTGGAGAAGAAACTGAAGAAAAGGCGTCGCAAGCAGGATGACATCCCGAACAACCACACCGAGACGTTGCTGCCGAAGAACCCGTTCGAAGCTCTCCCGAGGATGCGTAAGTAGCTTCAGTTGAAAAACGGAAAAAGTTTCCTCCGCTACAAGAAAGTTGGGACTTACACCCACGACATACCAAGATGATAGGCTGGCATTCGTGACCTTCCAATACTTCAATCTGCAGAGATCAAACCGACATTGGAGAAGATTCAACTGAAGCGCTAGTTCACACCATCTGGTTCAGTTCTAAAGGGCATACACTGTCTATAATCGCATATCCGTCCCATATGGAAAAAGTAGGCATTGACAAAATAGCCGTCGAAGTTACGAAGTGCAATGCCTATGTAAATTGTAATGGTAATTGTTCGGTGTATAAACCGTGCCTTCCGTTAAGTCGACGTATCTAGGCACCAACCCCCTAGTCTATACACCTACTGTCCATCCCGTTGAATTCGTCAGCTCGTGCGATACTCTAGACTCACATGGATGGTCGTATTCGGGTCCTCCCCCGGGTAGGCGCAAATGTCCGTCCAGGTCTGGTACATTAACTTGTCTCTATGCAGGGTTTAAGTACTACTACTACCAAACTCACCTTTTTCTACTATGATGATTTCGCTGAAAGTTTAAGAAGTTTAATGATCTCTATGAGGTGTGTACTGTGATTGCATTATATCAAAGACAATAAATCAAGAAGACTGGCAACTCTTCCATTTTCTCATACGAATGCTATGAGATAGGTTCATTCGCATCATCTACTGCTCAAAGGTAAATGCTTCGAACGAATTTGACAGCAAAGATTACATCCTCAGAAGAAAGGTTTGTGTATTTGCTCATTTTTCTATGCGTTGCTTCCAGCTTCACTCAAGCGCAGCGCTATTGTATCTGTCGCTTGGATTCTGGCAAAGTTGCCAGTCTTCTTGATATGATGTCTTCGATTATATATAGTGTTTGAAGGTCATGGGATGTCACTAAAGTGGGGGATTGGAGTTTATATGTAATTATCTTCAAAGTCACTGTTCGACGGTAGCACATCGCTTATCATGGAATCAAGCAAGCCATTGTGGATACTACAATAGATCAAATTGCTGGTCGCAGTGGTGTTAGGTCCCGAACAGAGGAAAAAAAAGCCATTGTGGGTAGCCGTCATGCTTAAAGGGCAACGAAGTATTGACAGGGGGAGAGTGTTTTAAGATAAGATGTTGGAAATGAGTATGAAAGTTATACATATGCGTTAGACCTGTTCATTTTAACAGAAATGTTCTTGATGCACCGGGCAAGGCTGGTAGCTGGTCACTTTTTAGTGACTTGGTCACTTTTTAGTGACTTGGTCACTATTTTTAAGTCAGTCACTAAAAAGTCACTTTTTTTACCTAAAAGTCACTAAAGTCACTATTTCTTAAAATTTATTAACTAAAGTCACTTTTTTACGACTAATAATGTCAAGAGCAAATAATATGCCTATAAAAATCACATCAAGTAACAGCTAGATTTAGTAACAAATTAGTGAAAAAAGATTCATTAAAAATCAGCGTGTAAAGTTCGACAAAGAACAGTTGCGAACAGACCAGAATTGTTCATTTGGTGCTGATGCAATCACTAATATTTTTATTTTTTTCATCTTCGTGATCTAGACATTCAGGTCCGTTATCTTCGATTTTTTCCAGACCAGATTTTAAAATTTCTAAGTTTTTCCTTTGCCTTGTGATCTCGGAATAGTCAAAGAAAATTTTATCGCAAATTTTCAGAGGTGTCGATAAAAAATTTTGATTCCAACATCCTGGCTTCTTTACTTCGTGATCTTGGAAGTTTTCCAAGTCTACGATATTTCGAAAAATGGTCTAGGAAATTTACTTGCGCTAGACATTTTTTCAAAGATTATAATTTTGAAAAATCTTTGAAGCTCGGTTGCTTTAATATTCGTCCAAACATTTCCAAGACTAGATTTTAGGGAAAAAATCTATGTCCAAATGTTATTTACGTTTCAGTGTTTCAAGGACTGTGAACTTACATTCCATATACTCAAATTATGAAAATTATTCCGGGCCGTTTCTTAACTTGTTTGTCTTAGAGATTTCGAATGCTTAAGTCCCAGCATTGAAAAATTGGTCCAAAATCTCTTAAATGTATCCCGGAAACCTTTATTCTTTTTTTTTTGATTTCCAGATGCTAAGTCCGAAACGCATGCAAAATATTCTACCCGGCAAATAATTCTAAATGTGAGTCTCGTTCACTAAAATTCGCATTTGAATAAATTTTACTCAAATATGAGCAAATATCACTCATATTTGAATGACATTTATTCTTATATGAGTGACATTTACGCATCTTTGAGTGAAAATTATTACTTACTTATTCTTGTGACCTAAGTTTTTGCAAATTTAAGTGAACTTGACTCAAATATGAGTCAGATTAATTTGCCGTGTGCATTCACGATCTTTCCTGGAAAATTTTCCTCGTTTCAGAATAATGAGATTTCTTCTTGGACCGCTGTCTAGAAAAATGGTGTAGGTCCTTGAGTTGAGCTATGAAAATTTGAGGTGTTGCAAAAGTTTCTATATCCGAGGTCTTTAAAATTAACTGTCTAAAAATTGTCAGCATTTGTCTTTTTATTATTATTTGATAACCTTATAAGGCATAAGGATAATGCAAATAATATTTTCATTTTATGTCTGACATCACTCAAATAAGTCGAGGAGGGGCAACTCATTTAATGATAAATTCATAAATTATTAATAATAAAATATTTTGTGTACTTTTAGGATAAAGCATAGAGTGGAAAACGATTTACAAAAGAGCTAAATTTTCAAATTTTGGGTGGCATAAAACAAAAATCAAATTTGCATTAACCATAATCATGGAGACCAGCAAATTCCAGTTTGTAATTTTCCGGGGTACTCCCGGGATTTTGGTTATTTTCCCGGTTGTTTTGAGATCGAAGAATTCATCCTAAGGTTCGTTTCGAAAAACTTACTTAAACTTCCTTACATACTCCTTGGATTCTATTTGGAATTAGTCTGAATATTCCTTATAATTTTCATGCAATTCTCCTTAGAATTGCCATAAAATTCTGCTCATAATTATCTTGGAGCTCTCCACTAAATTCGTTCTGAAAAATCACTTGGAATTCTCCTCAGAATACCCTTGAAATTCTTCTAGAGATGCTCTTGGAATTAAACTCGGAATTCTCATAAAACTCTTTTCAGAATTCCTATGGAATCGGTCCCTCAAAATTCGATTCCCTTGGTATTTATCGTGAGATCATAAAAGAGGGTTATGGCTAAAATTCACAAGACAAGAGAGCCAATAAAACTTTTTATTTGTTTATTTGTTTATTTGTTTATTTGTTATGGCTGCATCAACAGACTAGAAATAGTCTGATAGTAGATTGACAGAACATAGTTGACGACCGATGACTTTTTCATTGCTAGATATTTTTTTTTAGAAATATGAATTCTCAGTAGACGTGTTTTTTTATCAAAGGCAAGCGTCACTCGAGCCATCCAAAAAGGAAGATGTGGAAAGGGCTACAATCCCTCGAGTTTGTGTGGTAAGACCGCATTTTGAAAGAAATTGGCGAGTTCTTCTGGTATTTTTTCACTACTATCGTAAAGAACAAAAATCTGTACCCCAGAGTTGCGCTTATTTTTATTTCTCAATCTATGGAATCTACACGAAAACTATGTTTGAACGAAATTTCTAGAACAGTATAAGGAACATTATGCAGACCTTTCAATTAGAGTCGGATC